AACGATGGAAGCCAAAAAGCCACCACCGATTGTCTCCTAAAACCACGCCACCAATTTTATATAGGAGCATTTAATGTTAGGACACTTTGCCAAATAGGACAACAAGCATCACTAGCCAAGACTCTGGCATCCCGAGCCATTGATGTATGTTGTGTTTCAGAAACACGCATACAAGACCCAAGTGTGGTTATTCACCTAACCCCACCTGGCCAACAGGATGAATCTGCAAAATTCACCTTGAGGGTGTCAGGAGATGCGACGGCTAGCTCACGAGGATTAGCTGGTGTTGGGATAGCTTTAAGTACTAGAGCAGAAAAGACATTACTTGACTGGATCCCGGTAGATAGCCGAATGTGCGCTGTCCGCCTGAACGGATCAGTGAAAAGGAGAAAGGACTGCACTACTCGCCGATGCCTTTTCGTAATCTCCGCCTACGCCCCCACTGACTGCAGTTCGGATGAAACGAAGGATGAGTTCTACCAAAAGCTGTCTAGTTTGCTGCGAAAGGCTAGACGCTCAGATATAGTCGTTTTAGCTGGTGACTTTAATGCTCAAGTAGGGAAATTGTGTCAATCTGAGAAGAATGTTGGTGGCACATACGGAATTCCGTGCCAGCGAACCGACAACGGTGACCGTCTCCTACAGTTCTGTTCAGATAATCATTTGTATCTTGTAAGCACTAACTTCAAACACAAGGAGAGACACTGTTTGACCTGGCGACCACCATCATCAAATCAACGCTGGACACAAATAGACCACATAGCAATAAGCTATCGTTGGCGTGGGTCGGTAGGAGATTGTCGCTCCTTCTGGAACACGTGTGTAGATACCGATCACGCACTGGTCCGCGCTCGTGTGTGCTTACGACTGAACGGACGTAGGAAACAGCTGGCGGTAAACCCATCACGTCCCCAGCTCGACCAGGGAACTAAGTCCCTATTTGAGGAAGAACTAGCTAAACACATATCTGAGTTTGACAGCTGCGCTCACCCTGAAGAAGCCTGGAAGAATATTCAGTCAGCCATAGATACAGCTGTAAAAGCTGTGAATAAGGTAAATCCAAAGGTGAGTAAAAACCATTGGATTTCGACTGCCTCATCCGAACTGATAGATGCTAGAAGACTTATTCCGGCGAGCTCCGAATTCAATGAGGAGCGAAAGCTGCACAAGAGGAAACTTACGAAAAGTCTCCGCAAGGACCGTGAACAGTGGTGGTTGACAAAGGCGAAAGAGATGGAAAAAGCATCGGCGATAGGCAACACCAGACAACTATTCAGGCTTATCAGGGAAACAGGTGGTAAAAAACAAATGATAAGCGAAACAATCTCCGAGAAAAATGGCACCATAATTAGCTCCCAGGATAGACGTCTGGAGCGCTGGAAAGAACACTATGAGGAGCAGTTTAATTGGCCCACAGCCACACTTAACCTACCGGACATCCAACACCTCCCTGAATGGGAGATAGACACAGGTCCTCCGTCCTTAACCGAGGTTACTAAAGCTGTCACCAATCTGAAGCTAGGCAAAGCAGCGGGACCTGATTTATTGACTCCAGAGGTATTTAAGTACGGAGGCGACAGTTTACTGTCTGCGTTAACGGAGGTTCTAGGCAGCGTCTGGGAATCAGAGGAAGTCCCATCGGGTTGGTGTAAGTCACTGATCATCCCGATATACAAGAAGGGGGACAAGTCGTCTTGTGATAATCACAGAGGGATTAGCTTGACTAATATAGTATCTAAAATCCTAGGCTCAATAATACTGCGTAGATTAAGTGGTGCTCGGGAGACACAAACACGAGAAAACCAGGCAGGTTTTAGGCCAGGTAGAGGGTGTATTGATCACATCTTCACCCTTCGACAGATTCTAGAACATAGGCATTCCTACCGGCGTCCGACAATCATTATATTTCTTGACCTAAAGGCGGCATTCGATTCTGTCGACCGGGAGGTTCTCTGGCGATGCTTGGCTGTAAAGGGAATGCCAAGAAAATACATTGCACTGATTAAGGCACTCTACTCGTACTCATGCAGCCAGGTGAGGGCTTATGGCGAGTTGTCATCTGAAGTGGTGACGACTAGTGGTGTCCGTCAAGGATGCCCATTATCCCCATTCCTATTCAATTTCATCATAGATGTACTAATGGACTTAACCCTAACTCACTTCAGCGACTCAGGGATTGACTTGCTACCAGGGAAGAATCTCGTTGACTTAGAATATGCGGACGATATAGTCCTTCTAGGCGAGGACTCTGACAAAATGCAGAGTCTACTGAACACCCTGAGCAACAATCTCCGCATGTTTGGCATGCGATTCGCCCCTATAAAATGTAAGATGATGCTGCAGGATTGGACTTCATCGACCCCTAGATTAGAAATAGGAAGTGAAGTGGTAGAACACGTTGACCGCTTCACTTACTTGGGAAGTACCATCAGCCCCAACGGGTTGATCTCCGACGAAATTTCAGCACGAATACAGAGGGCTAGGTTCGCATTCGCCAGTTTTCGCCGTCTCTGGCGTAGACGCGATATCCGACTATCGACCAAAGGGCGTGTGTACTGCTCAACAGTCCGCTCCGTCCTCCTTTATGGCTGTGAGACCTGGCCATTGAGAGCAGACGACATGAAAAGATTAGCTGTCTTCGATCATAGGTGTCTGCGTTCTATCTCCCGCGTGAAGTGGTATAATAAGGTGAGCAATATTGAGGTTAGGCGTCGAGTGCTAGGTAAGGCGGGGAAATCAATCGACGAGACTGTGAAATTACTTCGACTGAGATGGTTAGGACATGTGCTACGTATGCCTAGTCATCGCCTTCCTCGACGGGCAATGTTAGCTGATATAGGGTCAGGCTGGAAAAGAGCTAGCGGCGGTCAAACGAAAACATGGCACCAATCAATGAAATCCACAACAGTTAATCTAAGCCACGTAGGAAGATGTAGACTTCCTGGTTGGGGCCCTCGGGATGGTAAAAACCAATGGTTGGAAACAATTGGTGACATGGCTCAAAATCGTTCTCAGTGGCGCAGATGCATCCACTCCTTGTGACTTATGATTTCCAATTAAACTTTTGTTCTCCGTTATTACTATTCCTTTGTCTCACACCTCTGTTTACTGTCTATATTATGCATTTCTTCTACTTCCTTCTCTTGCTTTGCGTGCTACATAGATTGTGGCGACTTGAACTGCCGCACATATGTGCAAAGTTCTATGTCGAAAACCGACCGACCGACCGACGCCTAACGCTACCACTAATTATCACATTACTCCGCGTGACGTGACTAAATGAACAAAGACACCTGTGATGCAAGACATTTAGGTTTCTAATATCACTTACATGCAAAGACCATGCACTAAAAATATCAGCTAGTAAGTTCCAAGTAAGCCTGCTGTATACACCTTGAAACTTCGTCGGCAACTCCTTCAATCTGATCCTCCTGCAGCTGTCGCAGGGAGACATACAGCCGAACCTTATAAGACCTTTAGACGCATTTTAGCCTAGTCACAATACGAGTGGATCATAGTCTGGTACATGAAATGTCTATTCCAAGTAACTGGGTTTTAAGCAATTTAGAATTCGGAAAGTCATTTCCTACAGCTTTGTCACTTTTTTCACCAGAAACGGCTTTTGAGATGTTACATAGAGTTGGAGGGCCAATATATACGCCAAATCCAGCTAAGAGTTGGATGGTGGGCAACCGCAATGAAGTTTGAGGCAATTTAGACATCTCTTCAAAACAATCTAACCAAACTTTCAGTCATATGTGATAACAAATTATTAAAGCCCCATCTTTTTGGTACATTGTTTCAACTTTAGGATCCGAAATACTTCCACACTTAAAGTTTGCATCTATGATAAAATGGTACCATTTGCACCTAAGTGACGCTACGAAGTCAATAGTGATTAAACACCAAAAGTCTTTATCAATCTTCCACATTCGGTCTTTCGCTACCTACAGGTGAACAAACAAAGATTAACATATACCCTTGAACAGAGGTAAATAAATTCAGGTTATTACACTTCCTAACGGTTGAAAATAAGGAGTGAATAAAAACTTAATGTTACAAGTAATGAATATGTAATCAAAATTACCAAACAGAAGTCAGTCAAATTGTAGTTTCGAAGACACAGTGATAAATTTGCACTATTTTGGCAAGCCTTAATAAACATTTCACCTACACCACAAATGGACCGAACTGTGTGAAAAAAACAGCGCCTGAACTTCTCCAGAGATATAGTCATAGACTTCCTGATAAGTTCGAGAAATTTTTAACGCTGGAAGTGTCAGAAAAAGGGACTCAATAATAAAAAAAACAGTGTTTCACATTCCCTAAGGGGCTGGGATGTCGATAGGACATCTGTCTGACTCGCTTCAACGCAGAACTTTGCGCAGATGTGCAGCAGTACTAGTTGCCACAATCCATGTGGCACACCCGGAAAAGAGATTCATCTGAGTATCATTTGCACACTATTTCGCCGTACTAAAAATGCAACGCTGTATGCTTCAAGAGCCTAATTAAGAGTAAAGTAAATATGCGAAAAAAGACTTGTAGTGATTCCCCATGAACCCAGCTAGCATTTTCTTCGGGTGCACTGCATAAAGTTAGATAGTTATCTCCCGTCTTCCCCAAAGAATCTGCAGTGTGCCGAAAGTCTGCCTCAAAGTACCGGCAATGCAAGCTGGGAATAATTGTTCCCAGCATTCATTCCCTATACAGATTCAGATTATACGTATAGCCTACCCATAGGCGACCCTGTCATTAACTCCATTTGTTTACATCAAAAATAAAACAGCACTTACCATTTCAATAATCAAATTGGCTTAGAAAGCAGATAATAAAGTACGCGGTGCATCCCCGCAGCAGTTGTTCGAAACCAAACAACGCGCCTATCACACAAACGAGAGAATTTAGTACAATTGATGACTGCGCTACAGATTGCTAAATGATAAATATAGAAGCCACCATCGTTATTTTGCAAAATGTAGTAAACAATGTAATATTACATAATTTAAAATCAAAGCTTCCACAAAATAACTAGCTGTTAACTCAAAATCATGGTACTATCTTTCCTGAGTTTATCGACCAACCACACGCACGCATATCGAACGGCCATAATGGATCTGGCCTTCGTAATATTGACCGCAGTACGTCGATAACTTCGATCGAATTTTTCCGCACGTTTTCTGGGAATTTGTTGAAATTTGGTCGTGGAGCGTTTTTTTCTTCCATTCTAAATGCTAAATGACTGAGAGGTCTTTTCAGTCTCTAATCAGTGGTATTTCTCTTCATGACGAAACTGCTCTCAACAACATTTCACTAAAAGCTGCACTTGACAACCAAAATTTTGATCTAAACGGACAAAATCATGATGATGGATTATCTGTACCAAGCAAAGGAGTAAATATCGTTTCAAAACCAAAAATGCTGCCCTCTGGAATATCTGCTAGTTCTGGTTGTGGGACACTTACAATGGCCCCTGTCCCTATTGGGGCTCTTGCTCCTGGTAAAATTAGTCTCCCTCTTGGCGATTTGGAAAATATCCCTATTTTCAATACTGCAGACACTGGATCACTTGAATTACAAGCACTACAAGGTGGAGCTCAAGCACTACAAGGTGTTCAGACTGTCAAGTTGACATTCATTAACTGTGGTGATCAGCAGACTATACTTCTTACTACTCCTTCAACTCATTTCACTATGCCTGACCAAAGTTTGGATGGAATGACTCTCACTCTACCTGACAATTTACTGGCTACTGACCTCAACTTTGCAGGTCTCACATCAATGCAACTAGGGGATATGACAAGTGGAAATGATAAACCTAGTGTTTCCGAAAGTGCGAAATCCACTAGCTACACAAATATGACTTCCCTGCCACCTATCACTTCTGTATCGGATAAGTTGTATAATCAAATGACGAATGAAAGTGAAGCCATTCAGCAAAGTCACAGTTATGCTATTGAGGATTTAAAGCCAGTAATGCAGAAAAATAATGAAAAACTACACGAAGGAAATCCTGGTAAGATTCAGTTTTTGTCTTATATGTTTGTGCTTTTTTCAGCGTATGGGCATGTTAATCCACCTGGCAATATGAATGTCTCGCCAGCTGTTGTTACATCTCAAAACACTTTTCCACAAAGTATGAATGTAAAACCTGTGAAGCTGATTGACCCAGGTAATTCTATCCATATTCCCATATATCTTTCAGGTAATGTTTCCCCTGGCCCTCAGGTTGATGGAAGTGACCAAGAAGGTAATGATCAGAACTTGCCAGATGATATGAGTGAACTTAACACTAAGGTAGACATTATACATTTTGTATGCTTAATAAAATGTTTCAGGATTTAGCTCAAAGAATTAGTGCTGAACTAAAAAGATATAGTATCCCACAGGCGGTATTTGCACAACGTGTCCTGTGTCGAAGCCAAGGGACACTTTCAGATTTATTAAGAAACCCTAAACCATGGAGTAAACTAAAATCAGGTCGTGAAACATTCAGACGTATGTGGAATTGGTTAAATGAACCTGAGTATCAACGGATGTCTGCATTACGTTTAGCAAGTAAGTTGTTATTTTGTGTTCATCACCTTTAATAGCATGCAAACGAAAAACAGAAGAGACACAGAAAGCTCAAGATGAACGTACTTCAAAGAAACCTCGACTTGTTTTTACTGATATTCAACGTCGTACATTACATGCTATTTTCAAGGAGACTAAACGTCCAAGCAAAGAAATGCAAGCAACTATTGCTCAACAATTGAACCTGGAAGTTTCAACAGTTGCTAACTTCTTCATGAATGCTCGTCGCAGATCTTTAGACAAATGGGTAGATGATAAAGATGTACAATTGACAGCGTCAACATCCTCTCCAGTTCATAGTTTAGAAGGTTCACCACCAAATCATAGCACACGTATGTCTTCGCATATGGTTGACCATTGTGCTGTCCGATCAGCTCATGATACTATAACAACACCTCATTTACCAGACTCAATGAATGACTCTGTTCTCAATCGAATTCCAGGTTGCCATTCAGCTATCTCCACTTCAGTTGAGCTGTCATCCTCTCCTGCACCACCTAGTTTAACTCCAGATGCATCATTATCTATGAATCATTCGGATGTTCATTTGAATGCACCATGTCTTGTAAACGAAGACACGCGAAATACTCTACTTTTATCATCTAATGATTCAAATGTACTACAGTCTCAATTACTCAACCGTTTAGTTGTTGGTGGACAAAATACTATGCTAGTAACACAAAATGTAAGTCCAGATACTGAAAAGAGTATGATGCATTCCACTCCACTTTCATCATCATGTATTACATCGTCTGGTCTTTCCACTATCAAGTCAGCTTTGGATTCTCTATGTGATCCTCCATCTCTGTCGCCTCATTCACACCTTCCTCCTGCACCCGTTGAAACACTGCACAATATACATTCTATTCCACGTTCAATGGCGCATAGATCAACATCTGATACAGTATGTACTGCAAATCACGTCTTGCCTTCTGCTTCTACACTCATAGGTCATGATCGACTTAACGTTGATTCTATTGGCCAGTCAACATCTACAACTGTTCTTACTTCCTCACATAATTTATCTAATAATACTCTAGTGCTTCGTACAAAACAAGAAGACTTAAACTCTGGCCTAATAATCAATGCTACGTTAAATTAATTTGTTTATGATATTATTTATCATGTTTCCATAATTATTAATATTCCCAAGTGCTGTGTATGCTACTCCTTACAATTACGTTCACAATTGTGTTCATTAGTTCTGCGATTGTGTGATTTAAAAACAAACAATAACTATTATTTTATCTAGTTTCTAATCAGCATTATTTGTTAAATTACTGGAATATGCTTCATACTTCATGCATGGGAAATGCGTATCCCAGTTTTCTTAAATGGTGCAATATTCTTTCGTAGTCACAGTTATTGATCATGATGTTGTTTTGTTTTGTTTTTTTTCTTTGAAAAGTGTACAGTTTTGTTTGGTAGTTTTATTGTTTCTTTTTTTTGTCCCATCCCCTTTGTTTCTTTATTTCTATCATGTAATTGAGTTGACTTTGCTAAATTTTTAATGTGCGCGCTTACTCAAGACAACATATATAGTTACTTGAGTTTTGCATCCCGCAAATTATGCTGCATTTATTGCGGGTATTGTGCAGTTTCTGCGCTTGTCCTAATGTTGAGATACATGTGTGGTAGGGCTGAATCAGGTCCACTTTGTTTAGTGGGATGATTGTTTTTTGAGAAATAGGCGACTTGATTTTTCTTTGGAATCCCTTGACAAACGTTGACAAACCGATTTTCGCACGTTAGGCTACTTTTTTGTTACTTGCGCACTGTCATTTGTTCACATAATAATAATAATGATAATAATATTGGTTTATTTTAGTTTATTTTTATTTCACTTGAACTGCATCATCATAATGAAAGTTAACTATTGTTAATGATAATAATAATAACAGTAATAATGCCTTCGACTTTTTATCCCAATTCTTGTCACTTTACCCCAGACACAGTTTAACTTCTCATTCTGACTTTGTTTTTTTTTTCTTTGTTTTTTGTTTTGTTTATTTTTGATTCGTGAATTAATTTTTGACTAATAAAAATAATAATAATAATTCATGGTGATACTTGTAACTTGGTAGCTTCTGTATTCATGTACATTAACCGTTCCCTTTGTTTTGTTTTGTTTTATTTATTTAATTATTTGTTATTTACATTGGTAAACTCAACACTAATCATTGATTACCACTAAAAAAAAATAAAGTAACCGTTGCGTTAAAAGTCGTGCTTTTTTCCTTTTTGTTTGATGAAAGTGTTCGCATAGCGGAGAGTTTGATTACGGTTTTTCCTGTGGCTGGTTTTCCATATATATATGTATTGTGATTTTGTATGGTCAAGTTGTTAGGCTGTGTTGTATGTGTTCTAAGTATAATGTAGGGCTTCAAGCTTCCGCTGTGAAGTTTCAGTAGCGATGGGATTGCTTTTACAGGGTGCAGTTTTGTAGTCTCACCCCCCAACCATTCCTTTCAATCGGGATTACTACCGGTTAAGCGAGCTTTAGGAGTTCGTCAGTCGGGAGTCGAACCCGGATAGCGCACATGGTTGGAGAGTATTCTACCAGTGAATCACTGACGCGGTTTTCGACATAGAACTTTGCACATATGTGCGGCAGTTCAAGTCGCCACACTCCATGTACACACAAGCAGAAAGAAGTGAGATGATGAATCACTGACGCAGAGAATATCTTTGATTTGTTTTAGTTTCATTTAAATTGCTGTGTTTCCCTATGCCTGTTATGTTTGCGATTTTGAGAAGACTTCGTTTAATACTAATATTTCTTGAACTTACCTATGCTTACCTAGACTTCCGAGTATCATAAGTCTCGTGTAAGAATTCGCTTATCTGGCTGTTTAGGGTGCTTCAGTCATACTTATATGAATGCTTGTAAGTTGACAGCTGCATTTCTACAGGTTTTACTAACCTCTAATGCTTCGTCCACCATTTGGTTATTATGTTATTATTATTATTAAAAGTCATCGTGCATACATTGCTTCAGTTAGCGTCGTGTAGATTACTAGTTTTATAGGATATGCCTACTTGGTGTGAGGATTCTTCGTGTGAACTCAGCAGGTACATTTCGGATAAAGCGGTTGGATTGTGAATAGATAGCGTGGAGTTGTCTTAGGTTGATTACACTGGCGATAGGCCATTTAGTCGGTCATAAAACTTGTACTATCCTATTGATTATGATTACAGACTAATTGACATATCCTTGGTGATGTTTTATATCAAACATTATTGCGTAAAATGTACTTTTGCGGCTCACGTATTGTGTTCTTGCGTAAGTAGTGCAGGCTGAGAAAACAGGTAACTGTCGTGTAATGTTGCTAACGTAGTCAGGCGGTATTCATAGTCAGCGCACCCTCTGTCCAACTCGGTGTCCCTACCTCAACTCAACGTTTTGCAAAATATAATATATATATATATATATATATATCTGTCGGACATTATAATGTGGTCATTAATACTTTCTTTCGACTCTAGTAGCACAACTGAGCCTCTATACAAATTTCACGCTCAATAGTTGCTTATTGTTCGAACGAATGTTGTTATAATAATTATAATTGTTTTGAGGGAGTACCGGACGGCCGTTTCGTCTTAGTTTCAGATTCTTCATCAATACGCGCTTCTAACCCAGGACATTTGAGTTGCCAGGCGGGTCTCGTCTTCATTCCACCGACACTCGTAAACGTCGCTTAGTTCACGAGCTGGTAGTAAGGCCTGTGAAGAGAAAGTTGACATGCGGCTAGCAACACCACCCCTACTGAAGTATTATGTTCCACTTGGAAGGCAGGGAATGAAAGAGAAATCTTATTACATGAGGTTTATCTCCTTGTCGACAATTTCTAAGTCATCTTCAGTACATATTATAATAGTGTTATTAGATGGTGGCTTCACAACACTATATCCTGACAACTAGTCTGCATCGACCAATCGCCTGACAGCAAAGAACAAAGTGATGTCGCATGACTATGAAATAGAGTTTCTGATTATGGATTGTCTGTGTTTGAAACATCATGTGTAACTCTGCGAAAATTAAGTACAAAGTAGGACTTTAAGTTTTCGGCATATTACTCGGTACTAAGTGAAGAAAGAAAGGCTAATAAGATTAACCGTACCATTACGCCACAGCATCTTTTTATTGTTCTCCTATAGGGCATAGCTGAACTTTTATTTTGTAGTTTGGGTTCACGAGATCGCTACAAGTGAACTATAAAGTTTGCAGATTGAGATCGAGTGTAGTCGACGAAGTTAACACTCCTTGTCTGATTCCAACCAGTAAGATGCAGTATGACGCATAGTCGTTATTTTAGCGAATTCGACCTAGTTATTCAATTTTCTCTTGGTTAAATAAACGCTTATAAGATTAATTCTTTTACATTCCATTATTTCTTTTGTATACCATGAGGTTCAATCAAAACTAGATTTTCCTTAAGATCTGGTGATAATCCCAATGATCTATTTTAAAGTGTTAGTTTGTAGGAGATTTGATTGGTTCCAAGTTTGATCAGTTAGAAAACTAGGAGGTAGTGGACAACCGTTTTGTCCTAATTTGGGACTCTTCAGTAGTACGCACCCATGACTCCAGCGCCATAAATCCAACCTAGAACCTTGAGGTTACGAGTGGGATCTAGTTGCAGGTGGGATTCATCAGTTCAGGTGTGAAGACATATACTCTCCGATGATTTTGTCTGGTGATGGCGCTACAAATCGCGAATTGACAGAAGGTGTAATTCTTGTGCTGGCCATTGGGTTTCCGTCCCAGTGGCTGAATAGTCAATGAGCTTGCCTTGTAACCTGGAAATCCTGAAAAGTTTCAAGTCGGGATGAAACAGCTGTCTAGTACCACGTGCTTGTTTTCAATGGCTCTTAAACTGGCTGGTATCAATCCGTGATCAAACTTGTTAACCGAAAGATCTGTTCTGGTTGTATTAAATGTCTTATCGTATTAATAGAACTGATTGGATAGCATTATATCATGTGATAATTTAAGTACTTTATTCACTAGGCGGAAATCATGAGGTATATAACTGTCAAGTATTGCTTTTGTAGGGATTTTGTTTGATTGCATGGAGGATTTCATCATGAGCTGACATCAGTTAGAGAACCACTGGAAAACCTGGCAGTACTAGACAGCTGTGCGACTGGCCCTATTCAGGCAGTTAACCTGGGGTTCTAGTGGGAAGCCGTGACCAGTAGGGTACAGCAGGTTGAAGATGAGGCAGTAACTCATCGAAGAAGACATTGAGAAATGGTCGCGCTATGTCGTGAATTGGCAGAAGTTAGAATTAAACGACCTTTGGATTGGGTCCCAGTGGCTCAATGGTCTACCAGCTAGCTCGCCTTGTAACCAGAAGGTCCTGGGTTCGAACCCCTTGTGGTGGGTGCGTACTGCTGAAGAGTCCCAAACTAGGCTGAGGAAACAGCTGTCCAGTACTCCGAGGTATACAACTGTGTTCGGAGTTTTGAATCAATAAAGTCGTAGGCATCTTCACCATTTGACAGCGTTATATTTCTATATTTATTCGACCATGGCCAAGGGTTGCTGATACAATTATCTAAACATGAAATATGACTGTCAAGCAATTGAAATTCTCGTCTTTATGGTTTAATTAGCTGTTTCACCGCTATTATACTGCTGTCAGTTCACTCATTTCTACCAAGGCCAACTGAAAGAAAATGCTCCCTTGTTTCAGAGTATTTTACCAGTAATACAGCTGGGTTTTTTATTCCTTTACGTTTCCAGGGGAACATAGGGCTTCAAGCTAGAGCTTGAAGTTTTGGCAGCAGTGTTTACTTTTACGGGGCCTGCTAGCCTCACGACCAACCTTCCCTCTTTACCGGTAGTATTACCGATTTAGTAAGGTAAAGGAGTGCGTCTGCCGGGGATCGAACGCCGGATCACATGGTTGGTCGGCGAACATTGACGCACAATACAGCTGTAAATGAAGTTATTAAAAGACTGTACCAAAATTTCCCCTGATTTGCCTTGAAATTGCAGCAAAATTGATTATCTGATAAGTGCCTTAACCTGATACTAACATGCTACTGAACGAAAACTTAACCATTCATATTGAATAGGTTAGTTAATTGTGATAAAAATGTAATATGCACACTGGAATACAACACATGATATCCGCCTTATCGACATAGAGAAGCCGGAGCTTCAGATATACAACCTCTCCTGCTTTCTTGGTCTTAATTCACGTATGTTTAGAAATAAGATAGTTTTATTCCAGACAGTACATTAGATACAGTGTAGAATTCTCAGCATGTAGTACAATATTGCACCCAATTTTCTCTTTACATAGATAATAAAAGGAAATATAGTTAACTTAAAACATTTGCATTAATAATAATGCCAATAAAAATATAAGTGTGAAATTGAAATTAAAAATTAATAAAAAAATAGTGAAATCAACATATTAATGATAGAAAGAATAAAAATGGCCGTTTATTTCATTTTTGAATGGTTGGAAGAGGATTTCATCATGAGCTGACATCAGTTAGAGAACCATTGGAAAACCTACAGGGAATACTGGACAGCTGTTTCCTCCGTCCGAGTTTGGGACTCTTCATCAGCATGCACCCACCGGCGGGGTTGGAACCTAGGGCCTTTGGTTACAAGGCTAGCGAGCTAGCTCGTAGACCATTAAGCCAATACTTGAATATTTCATTTTTCCTAGTAAGTTATTCGTTTCACACTTTAACACTTTCCTTATCACATAAAATGCGTACCAGCATAAAGTATCATTGAGTTTTAGCACTCAGTCGTGCGAGCATACAGTCTTTTATAATTCTGTCTAGTCCTACATGAAGACATTCAAGGGGAGAGTTGTGTTCTGTATAAAGAGGGTGTCGAGAGTTCGATAAGATAACCTTTGCCGATTTCTTGCATGAGTTCAAGTGTCTGTTAACAATATTATTGACGAGTTGGCTTAAAGGTACACCACTCTTCCCCTAAGAACAGCCTACAATGTCCTTTGCAATGAAAGTCTTTTTTTAAGTAGCTCAGGAGAGATTAAGAAAGAGATGCGATAAAGAACAATAGTTAGAATTCAACAAGCTACAAACTGTAAAAGTAGAGACTGATTGACATATCAGATTCAGCGAAGAGACTTTTTCGGCGAATTCATTCACATAGCTGTACAATCACATTTGTAT